AACTTTATTTCAGAAGAATTTAAAGAGCAAAGGTAAAAACTACCTATTTTATTATGTTCCTTGTCAACAAATTCTCACGTACAACTTACAAATAACATATAATAGGAGTAATACGGTTATATCCGTATTAGGGACTATTTTTGGCTATTATAGTGTCATGATGGCACTCTATTCATTTTTATTTAGTAAGTTGGCTTTTTTGAATTAAACCATTGTGCTTTTATAATTTGCTTACTTGTTTTAAAAATTCTTAAGACCCAGATAAAATTACTCTGGAGGATCTTTTAGAAAAGTTCAAAAGGAAGAAGAAGGAAAATGATGAAACCAACAATACAGAGATTCCCACTCCGGGTCAAGTAGAAGTTTTCCCTACAATTTCAAGAGCAACTTCTTCTTCGAATCTAACAAGAGTCTCATTAGAAAATATACAGGTATCTATAATCAATTAATTGCTTATAGTAACAATTGGTCAGCTTCAAAACACTAAAACAAAAAATTTTTATATCGTTCAAAAGTTTACCGATAAGTCTTATTGTTCACGATTCAAGTCTCAAAACCTATCGTCTAGTTTTTAAACTAAAAATTGGCATTTTGAAAATTCCAAATTTTGTTATATGCTTTAGAAATAAATTTCGTGTAATTTTTTTCCATAGAATATTTTATAGAACATATATTGATTTATTTGAATTATTTATTATTAATAATAAAAATTTCTTTACCATATATTACAATAAAAAAATTTTAACGAACATATTACATCAAAAAGAAAATCATTTTTAAAGCTAGTTTGAATGGCGGTGGTTTTTTAAAAATCCAACACGTAGATCACATGATATTTCAAAATTTTTAACTTTTGAGTATATTGTAGATGATCCGCACTGTGGGAATGAATCAAGAAGGGACGGATGAATTCATCGCAACAATAACTATGACAAGTCAAAATAGATGAATCACCAATAATATCCTTTTATTTTTAATTAATGATAGATAAATTTAGTAGTAATAGATCTGTTTTTATTGAATTTCCGACTTTTCCGAATTTAATATTGGTGTTTATTAGTATTAGTATTAGATTGCCACCATTGGCCGTTTAACCGTTTTGACCAATTTAAACGGGTTTGTCAAGATACCATTATATTAACATACAAAATTATAAAATTCCAGTTCAATCTGCGGCTAAACTGACAATCATGAATCTATCCTATTCATGCAACCATACCTATAGATGAGAATATCTTTTCAGAAGATCAAGTATATACGTTGCTCTAACCAGAGCAAATTTTTTAGATAGGCTTCAGATCTTAAAATTAAATTATTCTTAAACGTTCCAAAAATGTTGCAGTGCATTAAAGATGGTATAATCCAGTTTTCTGAAATTTAAAAGGAAAAACTCCAGATAGAGGATATTATAATTTTAAGATTGAAATAAAATAGATAACTCGATATTAAGCAGAATTAAAGTTTTCAATATGCATTATATCATAATAGTAAAAATTCCGTGAATCTTTATACCAGTAGTATTTATAATAAACCTTATTTAATTTATACAGTTATGTAAATAGTTTGAGACTTCAACGTAAAGCTAAAAGTCATTTTTTTAAAAAATAAGCAATTGTGAATGATTTAGTCACAATATTAATATAATTGCGGCATTTTATCAATAGCCCACATAATAGATATTGGGTTTTTGGTGTCAAATTGAAGAGAAGATTATTTTTTTTTTAATATTTTATTGGCCTTCAAAGTAATCTATTTACCATCAAGAGTTTTTATTTACGTCAAGGTTCTTACGTCATTTTTGACTTAATGGTAGTGATATGAAGTATTGATGTTAGCCGATAGAAAACCTTAGCCGGCTAAGAACTTAATAAATCCCAGTTGATAAAAAACCTTTTCAGATGATACTAAGCTTGCCGGTATTATTATTACTATTATTAATATAATATCTGCCTTTAATGGTTCAAATTATTTGTTTTCGTTATGAATTTGAGTATTCGAATTACATTGAAAGTTTTATTCGAATAAACTAATAAAAAGAATAAGCGAATAATTCGAATAGAACGAATTAAAATAAGAATTTGTATTACAAATAGAAACTCTATGGCTTTTATCATTCAAAGTAAATGCAGGTGGATCCATCTCAACTAAATGTCTATGCCACTGAATTCTGCACTAAAATTCCAGACGTAAAAATGAATGTTAAGAGAAATTTTTTTAGCCAGCTAAGTCGTTTAAAAATTCTTTAGCCGGCTAAGCCGACAAATTTCTTAGCCGGCCAACATCATTAATATGAAGTAATAGATTACAACCCTACAACCCTGATGACATTTTGTCAAAGAACATTAGCTTGGTAAAATTGAAAGTTTACAAAAAGTTTTTATAGGACGACAAAGGTAATATTATCGAATATCCTTATTGAGATGCTTTGCAAATATTTTGAAATAATGTTACTATTAATTTTACAGCGTGTTAAGAAAAACGGCGTTTTTATGTAATAAAAATATACCAAAGAACTTAGATAATGTAAAGTTTTTGAAGTATATTGTTATATAGGCTTTAGAGCATTTATTAAAGAAATTCAAAATAATCAAATTTCTTTATTTTCAATTGACAAAGTTCCAGAAAATCTGGAAGATTATAGGGATATTCAGTATGGTATGGTATGGTATAAGTGTAATAAAATGTTTGCATACCAATGCTTAAATCTAATATGCTTCCCTTCACCCCCAAAAAAGGATTTAGAATAAAGCTTGGTATGGAAAAATATGGACCATCTTTGAGTTATACCATTCTCTACCGAATCTGGAAATATGAATTATATATTACCGAACCATCAATTTCAGTTACAGACCTCAGGAAAATTCAAACAGCTATTTTAAATGTAATTAAACATAAAATACTTAACAAGAGCACTATTTTTTATTAATCCTGATTAATATTTAATTAAATAAGCTTTATATGTTTGAAGTTGATCGGGTAGTTCATATCATCAGCAATTCAATCGATATATTATAAAGATATCTGGAAGAATCAAAGAAATATTTATAATTTTTGAGAACAGACAAATTGATTGTAGAAGTTAAACTGGGTTTTAAGGGAAAAAAGGCTATAGAAAGCACAGAATGATCTTTTATAGAAAATTACCTTGATAATGAAACATTTATACCAATACCTTCCAATATATCAGATACAAACTAACAATCATCATTACAATCATTATTGATATTTATGTATGCTTCGACTTTCTTTTTTTTTTTCTTTTGCTTTGATCATTTATAAGTTTTAGTATGAATAAAACTTTATTAAATACTCATATAACTCCAGCAAAAGAATTTCAAACTCACACCAAATTACATTGACAATAAAATCGATATCAATGAAAATTCATGGTGTGATGACTTGATTACACCGGTTTTAAATTTTTTGTTCTATAATATAAATGACAATATTGTAAGAATTAGGTAAATGTGAAAGGAACAGATTATTTAGAATAATGAGACAACAAAAAAATTTTTTTTTCTATTTTAGAAATCACAAGCAACAAAAAATAGAAATAGCCAACGGGCCCAATTAGGTACCCTGATTATCTATGGTACATGTGGGAGACAAAAGAAAAATATCATTTTGAATTTTTTTATGTTGAAGTTTCATATGGACCAAGAGCACGAGTACCACAGCTTATCCAACATGTTAATGAAGATAGAATACGGTTAGGAAAACTAGCTAAAGAGTCTTGGAACCATATGCTTCATATTTACAGTAAGCACACTTTTTTTTTATTTAAAACAATAGTTATGATTAAAATCATTTTATTGAATTTTTCCCTATAATTAAAGAAACGAAGTTATTAGTCTTTGTAATTGATCGTTCACATAAACTATTTTCTACAATGAAGAAAATAATGAAAATTGATCTCCCAACCAACAATAATTCAGAAACAGTATTAGAAATGATTCAAGGCTTATTGTATCAACAAAATTAATTCACGTGAGAAATGTCGGTTAAAATTTTTGTATTAAAAATATTATTATTTAATTAATTTAATTTGAGATTTTTTTAAAAATAAAAATTTCCTTTTTACCAGGATTCATTATATCAACAGAGGAATAGTGTAGAATTAAATGTGTGCAAGACTACGGTGTTCCCCAAGACAGAAAAGAGTTTTTTTCCCTTTTATATTTTTTTACTAAGATACAAATACATATATAAGAACAAACTATGATTTTTATGCAATCAAAGTAACATTTATTTCCTTTTTTTTATTTCTCTGGGTCAAGATCATCAAAATTTTAATAAATTGAGAACAAACTTTTTATTCATTCTCATTTTAATGTTAATTATTAATATTATTGGAATTAACTTCTGAATTTTGTGAATATTCTTGTCTATTTTTATAAGTATATATTTTTACATATCCATCTATAACAGAAAATAATATTAACAAATGAACAAAATTTTAATTATTAAATGTCAATTAAAAAAAATATATAAAAAAAAACTTGCCATCACCACATGTAAATAACAAAGGTTTCCAAGGATGAAATAAAACATCTCTAATTTCATACCCTTTAATAAAGTAAATAATTAAAGATAGTGTACATGTAAGAATAAGAAATTATCAAGTTATCATAAATTATATATATATCTACATAATGTTAATAAATAAATTATAATAAATAAATAAAAATCATCATACTTTCATGATCTTGCAGTATTCCGGAAACTTTACCAGTTCTTAAATTGAATATATACACCTCTCCATTCATAGTAGGTGCAGCAACATAACGACCATTTGATGAAATTTTTACAAGCCAAGAATTAGATTTATAACTATAAATCATTTGTCAAATATATATAAAAATAAATATAAACTTATATATTATTATTTTTACTAACAACAGTAACAAAAAAAACAATTAACAATTAAAACCCACTTTTTATGTTGGTATTCTCTTACTTCTTTTAATTCAAATTTACCACCTTTTTTGGTTGGATATATCAACTTAAATAATTTACAAACATTCTGTCGTGATGCTTAAATAAAAACAAAATAAATTAAAAAAAATGTATATTTTTTTTGTGATTAATAAATAAATAAGTTGCCAACTACCTATTAGAGAACCATTAAGATCTAACAATTCAACACCACGAGTCACATAATAGGCGGTTTGAGGTGGCAGTGATCTTTTTTTAGCCTTTTTACTAGACTCCACCAGTATTACATCATCATCTACTTTTTCTTCCATAGGTTCAACAGGATTAATAAATTTTCCACAATCACAGTACTGAGTATACATACTATCAAAAGATTGCACGCACTGAACAAATAAACCAAACACCCAAGTATTTTGATTTTAGACAAATAATATAATTATAAAAAATAATTTTATACATTTTAATTTTAATCAATTAATTAATTACCTGAGCTGCTTCAAAATCATATAATCTAACAGTGTCATCTGTAGCAGCCAAGAAATATTTATTTCCAGTGTTAGGAACAAATGAAACAGTAAATGCCATACAAGTAATCCCATCCGCCATATGTTTTTTATCAATGAGAGTGCTTATATGTTCATTTAGAATTCAAAAAGATTAATATGTATTTATATTTAAACTTTAATTAAGAAAAAACTAACACTTACATCCAGTCATCTTCCATTTTCCATTTGATAATATAGCCATCTTGACTACTGGTTATATAATAAGGTTCTCCATTGAACATAAGAGTCTTAATACACAATATTTCTTCGGCATGACCTTCAAGTTTGCCAATACATTTTCCTGTGATTACATCAAATATCTTGTAAAATTTTATAAAATTTTATTAAATTGTAAATATCTAATTAAAATAAATCATTATATATGATTAAATAAAGCTAACCTTTAAAGGACAAGGTAAAATATGATTATCTTCGTCAGCGGGTGACCACTTGTGACGATCTTTCACTTTTCCTCCAACAACAATATGTGTTTGACTTGGAATAAATCTTCCAACATAATATTCATCAATTTGCTTTTCCTGAATATAAATGTATAAAGTTTTTAAAAGAAAATAATGATCAAATAATGATTTCTATTTAAATCAGACGCAGAAAATTAAACCTGTAAAAGTTATTTAATACCTCTGTATCTATTAATTTTTGGAGCATTTGAAAATCATTTACATCCCATATTCTCACACAACCAATATTACAAAATGTGACAAGCATTGTGCCATCAGGTGAAAGGATCATTCCAGTAATTGGACCTTTAAATAAAATTAACAATAGCAATATAATTATTCATCTTTCTAAATAAAAAAAAAAAGTAGAAATAAATCAACAACTTTTATTACCTTGATCTTGTACACCTGCTTTAATTAATTCGAGCGGATATTGCTCGTTAATATAATTGACCATTCCATAGCCACTTTCAGCATTAAATTCCCAGTACCGATCGGGAAATTCATTTGCAAGCTCTTTTACAAGAATTGGATCATACGGCTCTAATTTTACCTCCTAAATGTAAAGAATGATAGGTAATAGATCAACGTGTCAATATTTTTAAATCAATTTAACAATATTAAAAGAACCAAATTTCATACTTTTTCTTCCTCTACCTTCTTTCTCTTTTTAGATTTAGATGCCTTGGATTTTTTTTTATTTTCCTTACTAGATTCATTATTCATTGTTTGTTCAGATTCATAATCTGATTTTACCTTTCCCTTATTATTACTACTACTACTTGATCTTGATTTTCCTTTGTTTGATGGTTTTGTTTTCACCTTGCTTTTACCCTTATTAGATACATTAGTTGTAGTGTCTGTTGTAGTAGAAGGATCTTCGTCATCACCGTCATCACCGTCATCATCACTATCAGCATTACTACACATTTTACCTCTTCTGGTTCTTTTTAAGGTGGGAGAGGAGGTGAGAGTTGAACTTTTGGAATTAGTCGTTCTTTCTGGTTTAGATTTTTTGGTAGTTACGTCAATTGTTTTTTTGATTTTATTATTGGACTTTTCCGAGTAATCAGCGGCTTCTCTTGCTCTACGTGATAAAGTGGAAGCTCGAAGTCTCAACGTAAACTCGGGCTATATTTATTAATTTAAACCATTTTTTTAACATGCTTTTAATATTAAAAAAATCAATTTTTTTGATGTTTACACTTTTTATAATTATAAACATTATCTGAAAATTCCACTCATTTTCATTTTTAATGTAAATGTATAAATGTCAAGTGTTCTCTTTAATAAAGAATTTTCTCCTTACAGTTTGTTTCGCAGTCATGTTTATAAAGTCACCAAATTTGTAGTCACTAAAGTAAAGAATTAATTATTTTGTTTGAAAACTGTAAATTTTATATATGAATGGTTTTTAACGCGAAAAAAAAAGTTTACAAATTCATATAAAATTCTATGGGGATCTTTGGTTAAAACTTTTTATTGTTACGCGTAAAGTACCAAATTGGTAATGTCAAAAAAAAAAAAAATGATTGCATAAAACATGGATTTAAAGTCTTAAAATGGGCAAACAAAAATATTATTCGAGTTATTAAATTCTAATACTAAAAATAGACTTTTATATAATAATGAGAAACAGAATTATTATATAAAGAAATTCATCATTCATTCGAACATGCAAGCCTTTTCATAATTAAAGAATTAAATGCTCAAATCTTGATCCACTCGCATAACTAGTATATATTTAATTTTTTTTTCTACTTATTTATGGCTTTCTTGAACTGCTAATTGTGAAATTAATTGAAATGACTAAACAATAATGTTAACATGATGATGTTATTGAGAGTTTTAGAATCAGGAATTGATAAATTGAGTGATATTATTATATTAATTCATTCTTAGCCTTGATGGTTTTTTCTTTACTATCTATATGACCATATCGCCACTAACAGCAATGGCGTGTTTCCATTGAACTTGTAATAATAACAACACTTTCTGAAACCACTTTTCCAATACATCAATGTTAAAGTAGCACAAAGGCAAAGATCAGAAACCTAAATAATATGTATATACTGTAGATAGGTAGATAGTCCTTTCAGATTAATGCTACGTGGAAATGACATCGTGCAAGCTAAACAATAAAAAAAATCCATAAATTAATTCAATAGATACAAACTTCTTAAACTAAAATTTATATAATTATAATTATAACGCCATGACGATGATGATGTTTATTTGTTGAAAAAACGCATCATTTTACGAGTTGAATCGAATAGAAAAATTATCTTTGTTTATTGCATCAGTAATTATCAGTAATTGTAGTAGAGTAATAAGGCGCATTATTTAGACCATTAATATTTGATGATGTTCCGCTGTAATCTTTAAAGAAAAAAATTATTATTAATCATTTTTTTTGTTGTATAAACTGTTGTTGTTCTTCTTGTTCTAGTCATACCTGAATTTGTGTTGTTAAGAGTGCAGTTTCTGCTGTTTCTGCTGTTATATTTACAGTAAGAGTTGAAGTAGTCGTTGGATTAGGAAATAAAATTTTTTTTTCAAAACAAGTAATTGTATTCTATTTATACACATGTTTGGTTGATCATCATTTAACACATCACATGGCATTGGCAACAAAGATACTTTTTGTAATTGTTAAAATTATGCGATCGCGTAAGATTCGCGTTTAAAATTAAATAATTTATACTCTTCTTCCAAAAAAAAATTCCACTTTAGTTGTACAATCTATCTTTTTATATTCAACGCGCGTACATATTTATATAAATAAATGTGCGTGTGGTGACAGTTAGTTTCTGTATATTTTTTCATTTTTTTCCACCCTGGTCTTCTACCTCTGCTTGATAACACACGTCATTTAATAAATAAATATTTTCTCTTTGAATAAAATAAATTCTTATAATATATATATATATGTGTATGTATGTATATTAAATATATAGATAATATAATATATACTCTATCAGCAGCAACTATTAGGTAAATCTTCAAAATTAAAATTAAAAATTTTTTTTAATTAATGAAAAAACGCGTTTTTACTAATTTTACAATATTTTATAAAGTATTCCACATCAAATATAACAATACGCCTAAAATAACGATAACAATAATAATCATGAAATATATTAAAATAAATTCAAAACCTAAGGATGATAATAATAAAGAAAATCACGATCCTATAAAAAAACCATATTATGATAATAATAATAATGATGTATTTTTCTCGTCGTGTAAAAGGAAGAAATCACAAACTTCACTAAAAAAATCATTAAGGAAACCACTTGTTGAAATATTTATAAATAGAAGATGTGATGAAATTATGATAAATGAGGTAAAAAAACTTTATTTATTTATTTTAGATTTTTTTTTTTTTTAAAAATTAATAATTAATTTCTTTTTAATAATCAATAGTAATATTATTATCATAATAACAACAATTATATAATAATAATGTATTTAATAATATACACACACACAATTAATTTCACGAGAAAATAAAAAAATATTGTCATAACTTATCAAATGCATATACTATATATGAGCATTTATAAAAATAGAACAGAAGAATCTTCAATCTTTTAATGTTATTATTAATTAATTCATTAAATAATCAAACATTGTCCGAAGTTAAGGATCGATTAATTAAATTATCTTAATTGCATTCAAAACTTAAGTGCAAGATAAGTTATCTAGTTAGTCCCACAACGTTTTTTATTACCTTGAAATATATGTATGTTGGGCGCGCTCGTGGTATGCGCAAATTTCTTGCCCAAAATGTACTGGGAAAAATATTATTTCACGTGATAACACTGAAATATCGTGTTTTCACGTGATATTTTTTCTCCACAAAGAATTATCCAACGCAAAATTTCAAAGTTGATTCTCATTGACTTACGTGTATATTGCGTCATCTAAAGACATCAAATGTTGGCCATGTGCTAAATTTGAGAAAAAATTCAAATCTCAAAAATAGGAGAGTTATGTTCAAAATGCAATAATATTTACCGTCATCCCATGAAATCACATAACCCAACCAGGATCATCACTAAAAAATTAATACTTATATTAATTATTATAATATGCATAGGACCCGGAAACTTCTAATCGAGGGCTAAAGGTAAAAAATGTTATTGGGTAATAAGCTCGAAATCTTTACTAAAAAGTACAAGATGTGCAACACCACGTGGGTATGTCGATTTCGCAATCAGCCAATGGATCTTAATACATACTCAAACCGCCTGGTCTTGCATATATTAATATATACTAGTGGAATTTTATATATTTCATGGAATAATTACATTACAAATGAATATAGTAAATAGCAGGCCACGTTATTTGATTTTATAGAAAGAATGGAAGCGACCAAATTTTAATTTTTCAAAGTAAAATTTATTAATAAAACTCTATTACACTATTGCTTGTGTGTAGATTGCAAAAATAGAGTTATTTTTGTAATTTTATATATGGTTTTGTTCCTTAACATTTTAAAGATCAGCAATTTATTTGATGCTGTTAGATATAATCATTAATTGCTTATAATAACAATTGGTCAACTTCAAAAGACTAAAACAAAAAATTCCGAATTTTGTTATACACTTAAGAAATTGAGACAAGTAAATTTCGTGTAACAAATTTTTTTCATAGAATATTTTTTACAACATGCATTTGATTTATTTGACTTATTTATTTCCTTTTTTTTTATTAATAAATAAAAGTTCTTTACAACAAAAAAGTTTAACGAACATATTACATCAAAAGAAAATCCTTACCAAATTTGGTCGTAAGATTCAAAATATTGTTGCACTTCTGAGCATAACTTTCAAATTTAAAAAATCTATGAAAAGAAAATTTGAGACAAATTTTTTTAATAGACTCCCTTTTTAAAGCTGAATTGAATGGTGGCAAGTTTTTTAAAATCCAATGTGTGGATCACATAATATTTCAAAAATTTTAACTTTTGAGTATAGATGATCCGCACTGTATGTGAATTATCACATGTATTAGAAACATAATGTTTATAACTTTTGGTCCAAATTAAAGGTGAGATGTTAACAATAAATCACTACTATTCTACTGCTAACATAACAATTTTACAGTATCTCATATGTTATTTTTTTTTAGTATAAATAAAAACATAAATATAAAACTAACTTACATCAGATCTACTATGGAATCAAAGAATTACAGCACTATTAGAAGCATTTTGAAAGAGGAACAAGGTGAGAAAATTGTTTTCCATATTTCAAATTAAGTGATTCTCTAAGGAAAGAGAGAATCACCTATGAACTTTAAAAAAATCATAAATAATAAAAGAACATTAACACAAAACCATGAAGAACTTGAAAATTGAAAGAAAATAATTTAACCTAACTTAGATGAGCATGTTTATATTATTTTTTAAAGATTTAAGAAGTGGTAAAGATGGATAGTTTTTGTATTAACTTTATAATAATAAATTAGAACAAGAATTAGCCAGTGCCTCTGCTAATTTTATATATGCTATGATTGCCAAAGAACTTATAATTAAGAAGAAAACCAGTTATAACTACTAAGATTTCTGGCCTAAACTCTCTTTATTAGTAGCCGAAATTGCTGAAACATTTTGGGCAAAAATTACTTTTTTATAAGCCCAAACTATTTTTTGTTATTAACGAAATTACTTTAAAGTTGTTTAAGTTAAAATAAGTTGATTGGCATAGTTTTTAATGTTCATGCTTATAAAAATGCTGAGAAGCCCAAATTGCCCAAACTAGTTTGGGTTTGAGAAAACATTTTGGACTGGAAACCTTAATAACTACTGACTCTCTGACATTAATACTTCAGTTTTCTGTGGGATGGATAGGAAAATTATTGTACCTTGGAACAAATGGGAGCTGCATTTATTTAAATCTTAAATGGAATCTACTGATAATTAGTTCTTTTGGTGATAGTTCAGCTATACTTGTTACTACTATTATTTATTTAAAGTGCTCAGTTGTTTTTTTGCTATGTCTCATAGAAACATTATTATCATCATCCTGGATATTACAATCAATTGATTTTAATTGTCACTGGTTTTTTATAATTTGAGTAGCTGAGAAATCAAAACATTTATTTTACGCATGTGAGTTGGTTGAGGAAATCAAAACCCATGTAACAGTTGGTGCTCTTTCTTGTTTGGTATCAAGATGGATTTAAAACACTATAATAAAATTTATTATTATAACCTATGTTTTTATTATTATGGATTCTTTTTAGGGTCAAAAATGTTTTCTAGATTTCCTTTTTTAATTTCTCTAACTGATGCTATTTTTCTTTGGTTCTTGTATCCAATTCTATTTGTTGTCAATTAATTCATAATATTATTTCCATCGGTACTGTAATTTTTGCGTTCCATTGTGGATCTGATGTAAATTAATAGGAATAATTCTATCATTTTTTAATTGCTGTCAAGATTTAAATTTTAAATATAAAAATAGATTACCATTACTAATAATTCTATGAATAACAATTTTAACTTGAATCCTCAAATTAGCCACTACATTTACTAGAATACTAAATATCCGTCTGACATTTATCCAAGAAGTTCCTACAAAAATTAAAGATGAACCAAAAAAATGTTAATTTTTTGCAAAGATTTACGACCTTGTGGGTTTGGGTTTCAAGAACTAGCGCAAGTATTGCCAAAATTGGATCTATTAAATAATAATTACCTCCATGTCCGACGACTATATCTAGAAAGAAGCAGAAGTTGTTGTATCGTTTGGCTGGATTGTGTTTATCAATGAAAATACAAAAGGATATTCTAGAATGGCAAAAAAATATCAATATGAATGCACAAAACTTTCAAAACTTGCTGCCTATTATTTTTCGATCTCATGTTTAAATACATCTGGTGAAAGAGAGCTTGGCGCAGCTAGGCTTACTGAACTTTGTAATTAATATAAATATTAATACAAGGTTTGGAATTTTGTGCGTAACAGGTTAAGGGTTAAGGAAGGGTCAGAAATTATGATTTGTATTAATATTAAGATGGGTGAGTATTGATGACCTATTTATTAGACGGAAACAATAAATTTTTTAGGAAGATTGAAATAATTTTATTTTGGTATTTTAAACTCACTTTTTTATGTAAATTCTTGAATTAATTAGCTTGTCATAATTCCTATTCATAAAATGAGCGAGTATTTTAAATTAAGTTGTGTGACACCAAAAGCAAGTATTTTCTTATCTCGCGTAAACTAAAATGTTCATGAAAAAATAAGCATAATTAATTTGAATAAATAAATTTGGTAATGCCGGTAGCACTCTCTATTCTATGAACCAATCATTTATTAATTTTTGTATTATTATAATAATTGAAATAAATAATTATATAAACAAGGTTACGTTACCTGCTTGTCCCAGTAAACTTTTCTTTACACGTTATTGTCATATTATTGGTAATTAACAGTTAATAAAATGAATGCATGTTTATACGACAAACAACTCAATCAATATCAATATTTATTTACGTGTAACTTCTTTAGATATTCTAAAAATTTGTAATTTTTTTGGAATTATATAAGTAATGGCTTCATTCCTTTGAAACAGTTCATTAAATAATTATTCATGACATTATATTTGCGAAACATCATCACCAACACCTTTTTTTCAAAAAACTTAAATTAAAATTAATTTTCAACTAAAGTAAACAAAATGAGCAATATAAATCCTCAAAGAAAATCAAATTTCAATGTTGGAGAAGATTATGAAGTTATAGATGCTGTAGGAGAAGGAGCTTACGGGGTTGTTTGGTATTTATAATTGAATAGAAATAATTAATTCTGGATAATTTTAGTGATGTTAGCCGTTTAAAAATCCTTAGCCGGCTAAACCGTTTACTACCTAAATTGGTAATTTTATTTCTATAACAAGAAAGTAACGCAGAAATCTACTACCAAATTTAGAAATTATGCATGCAGATTATTAGCCGGCTAACATCACTAGATAATTTATATTAATGAATACTTTTTGTTAAAAATTTTATAGTTCGGCTCTACATAAACCAACCGGTCAAAACGTTGCCATCAAAAAAATAACTCCTTTTGACCATTCCATGTTTTGTTTACGTACGCTTAGAGAAATAAAACTTTTAAAATATTTTAATCACGAAAATGTTAGTATCATACATACATTCTAAAAATTCTAAAAATTTATTTTAATAATTTAAATATGTATATATATATTCTTTATTAGATTATTGCTATTTTAGATATTGTGAAGCCAGAAAGTTTTGACAAATTTACTGAAGTGTGAGTGGTAACTTTTCTTTATCTATTTCCTTTATGTCTATTTCAGATCAAATTAATCATATTTTAAATTTTATTGATATTTTACAAGTTATCTTATCCAAGAACTCATGGAAACTGATATGCATAGAGTAATTCGAACACAAAATTTGAGTGATGATCATTGTCAGTACTTTATTTATCAGGCATTTCGTGGTTTGAAAGCATTACATTCTGCTAATGTACTTCATCGCGATTTGAAGCCAAGTAATCTTTTATTGAATGCTAATTGTGATTTAAAGGTTAATAATATATATATAAAAAAACACGCGAAAATATTCAGAGTTATAAATTACATATAATAATAAAATTTTAATAGATATGTGATTTTGGACTTGCAAGAAGTGCAAATTCTAGTGATGAACATAATGGATTTATGACAGAATATGTTGCTACAAGATGGTATCGTGCGCCTGAAATTATGTTAACATTTAAAGAATACACCAAAGCAATTGATGTTTGGTCTGTTGGTTGTATTTTGGCTGAAATGTTGAGCGGAAAACCATTGTTTCCTGGAAGAGATTGTAATTATTAATTATATAATTATTTTGTTTATTATTGTTATGTAGAAACGAAATTAATTTTTATTTTAATTTTCCATAAAAAATAAAATCAGATAATCACCAGCTCGCTTTAATTCTTAATGTTCTTGGAACACCAACAATGGAAGATTTTTATGGAATTAAAAGTCGAAGGGTAATTGATTGATTAATCGATCAATAAATCAATCAATTTATTTAAAATAATATTAACATTTTTATCATTCACCATCCCTCAATGCCATATATTACAGGCACGTGATTATATTAGAAGTTTACCATTTAAAAAACGAGTTCCATTTTCTCATATGCTTCCTAATGCAAATCCATTGGCTATAAATATGTTGGAGAAGTTGTTAACTTTTAACCCTTCAAAAAGAATCACCGCTGAAGATGCCTTAAAACATCCATATTTGGAATTTGTAAGTATAATTATAAATGTGCTTATTTATTAAATTAATAATTATTTCCCACTTCCCTTTCCACAACCTCTCTCTCATTTTCTCGTTCCTTTCCTTCTAGTATCATGATATTGAAGATGAACCAAATGCTGACCCAATTCCCAAATCTTTCTTTGATTTTGATAAACACAAGGATCAATTGACCAAAGAACAATTAAAACGTAAGTTATATATTTGTTATTTTTTTCCAAAAAAGAAAATAATTATGATTTAATATTTTAATTTTAATTTTAATTTTTCTATTTTAGAACTTATTTATAGTGAAATCATGAAACCAATATAAAAATTATTTTTAATTTTATTAGTATATATATAAAGTGTACATTATAAAATTTTGTTATATTTATTTATACATAATAGATTTATTGTTATTTTATAAATAAAATTTATATATATTCCTTCTAAAACATTAAATTAGAATCGATTAAAATATTTGTCGAAGATGACTATCAGTTTCCAGCTTTTCATTTACAATTAGTATTAAAATGAATGTTAGACCTCTTTAATGGTGAATTCATTAGGCTTAAATCCCTTATGACTACCTTTTTTTGAATTTGGTATTGGTTCATCAAGGTCAAAGAAAGCAATTTCTTCTGTCCCTTTTTACTTCTTCCATCTTTTCTTTTCTATTACCGTCCGACTATTCTAAATATCCAAAAATTGAGCAATGCTTATTTCTTTAGATGTTTGCTTTAATAGTTTTCCAGCTAATATTACAAAGGTTTGTTGAAATATATTTTTGATACTACATGCCGTATATATATATAAGTCGTGATAATTAAAACCAGAGTTCTTGGTAAATTCACAACTAAATGTCCAGACATTTCTTGTCAATGATATTCAAACTAGAAAATGTAGAAAGAGAGAGAAACAACTTTTCAGCATTAAACCCAAAAGTCAAACCACTGGGCTTTACGTAGTTACGAAATCAAAAGATTTATGTCATGTTACCGAGCATTACTATTGATGTATTGTTTAATTATCAGTTATTATTGGATCTTCATAATAGAAACAGACGTTATTGATTGTTCATTATGCGAATTTCTTTATATTCGCTTTTGCTAAATCGATTTCAAGTTCTCAATGACGGGTTTTAAAGTTTTACTAATAAATACTACTAAATATTTATTTGTTTATTTATAGCAACAAGCTTTAAATTATCGAAATACCATGAATCCTTTTCTTCAAAAAAATTTTTTTTTGAAAAAATGGTCAAACGTTAAAAGATGGGAGATGGATGTTAAACTAAAATGTTGAAATCGAATTTTGTATATCCACGTGACTTTTAGTATGGTTGGCTCGGTCTAAAGACCTCCTATTTCTGCGCCACGTGGCCAAATTTCAAAAATAGCAATGAATTAATCTTAACATAATAATGCATATCCACCGATTTTTGCAACATTTTAGGGCACATTTATAAAAATTTCTAAGGGGTTACTATATAGAATTAGAAGCTAATTTCGCCCCCTTTTTTTTTGCTAAATCTACATATTAATATTAATATGCGCCATTATAATTTCACTTCTGTTTAGATTTTTAAATTTTATTAAAATAATAATAATTTGATACAAAGATCATTTTAATGTCAAA